CCATTGCCGCCTCCGCCAGGACCATATCCGCCACTGCCGCCTCCACCATTGCCGCCTCCGCCAGGACCACCATCCGCCACCGCCGCCTCCGCCATTGCCGCCTCCGCCGTTACCGCCTCCGCCACTTCCATTACGTGGAGGACATGGGCAATATTCTCCATCGCCACCGGGCGTCGCATCCGTTCCAGGATTTCCGGGTGATCCAGGAGCTCCAGGCTGTCCTGGATTTCCAGGAGGTCCAGGTGGTCCTGGTGGTCCAGCGTTGCTACCGCCACCGCTGGTGCCATCCTGTCCAGGCTGTCCAGGTGCTCCATTTGGTCCTGGGGGACCGGGAGGTCCGGGCTGTCCTGCTCCGCTAGTTCCAGGTGCTCCTGGTTGACCGGGAGCTCCAGGTTGTCCATTACTTCCAGGTTGTCCAGCGTCTCCAGGTGGTCCGGGAGGTCCAGGAGGTGACAATCCAGATCCGCCTCCAGGAGCTCCGGGATTTCCGGCAGGTCCAGGTGGTCCAGCACCTCCATCAGGTCCTGGTGGTCCTGGAGGACCGACTGGGCACATGATGCAACCACCGCCCCCATTATTCGAAGAGGAGCCACCGGGGTTTCCTGGCCTTCCAGCCTGTCCAGGCGCTCCAGGCTCACCAGCCAAACCAGGTTGTCCTGGTGGTCCGGGTGGTCCTGCAGGGCAGCCGCTGGCTTGTTGGCCACAGTTGCATGATCCTCCTCCTCCAGTGCTGTAGCCAGACTGTCTGCGTGCTACAAATGCTGCACGTTTGTCTCGGGCCATTTCGGGAGTAGATTTCATCTCGTGCCATGCGGAATTGGCAAGGTCCTCAAATGGGATGAATAAGTCACTTTTTAACTTTTGTTTCACTATACTTTTTGAAACCATCACTTACTTTGAAACTGTCGAGTTCAGAGATGATGTCATCGTAGAAGGTGTTGATGTCGTTGACGATGTAGACGACAGTCACCAACGAGACGACGACGGCCACTGCTGTAACAGCGGCTACCCCACTAGCCAAAGTGGTGGTTCCCATCCCTGAAAACCGAGCTTTCACAAGGCATATTTAAATGATGAATAAGGCAAAATTTGGGAGAAGAGCCACAAACAAGGTGTAGGAATCTGTTCAGAAAAGTTTCTGAGCGGACAACTGTGGTTCACCTCAACTTTGGCGGTCTTATATTGACGAACTCAAGGCTATTCGGACAGTGTGATAAGGTCTTGTTGCATTGCAATTCTCATTAGCGAGAAATAAAACTGAAAGTTCTAGCGGAAGGCCATAAAGCAATCGCATAGCTTTCTTTTCATGCGAACGATAGGGTGTAGGAGGTGGATGAATTTCATAGCATGAACAGATATTGGTACAGTTACAATCATTACTTGGCTTGAAATTGTCGTACGAATGGGCTTTGGGACCAGGGCACGCTATCGCGTTGTAATCATTTCCTGGAAAACACGACCTCCCTGATTCCATCCTCAAATACGACCCCCCCCTCCCCATGCTACCTACCACTTTCCTAGATTTTCCCAACTTCCTACCGATTTTTCCATTTTTTCCCAAAAAATTTCCAGTTTTTCAGCCAACAATTTTCCGTCGAGCGGGTGGGGGGAGGGATGATATATACCCTTCTCAGATTTCCCCCAGTTTTTCCTGACTTTCTCGAAAAATTTCTGGTCTTTCCCCAAAATTTCGCTAATGAGGAGGTGGAATCTCGTCACGAGTACCAAGGATAACTACCACTTTCAACTATCGGAAATAGTAGTTGTGTAGATCTTCTCAGTCCCTCTCCCAACAGCGACCAAATACGACCCCCCTCCCTCGCGGTCAAATACGACTCCCCGTTGTGATCATCTCAGCGATGGCGTGCCCTGGTTGGGACCCTTCATATCCTCGTCCACCTCAGCTGATGCTCATGTTACACTTTTATCATTTCATGCAGCTGTGGAGCTCTGATGAATTCACAGAGGCTGTAGAAAGCCTCATTGGCGAATACAAGAACCGATCAGCAGCAGACCTTATTTCTGCCAGCAGCGCCTCGATCCACTGCCAACTTCTTTCCACCACTTCTTTTCCTGTAGGAACAAACGCGTTTTCGCTGGCAGAATCATCATGGATTAAATATGTGAGAGGATGTAATTATCGCCAGACAAATGAGGCAGACTAGAAGGGTGATTCCAATCAGTCGCTAATTTCCTGTATTAGCTTCCATTTCCCCCAGTAAAAGAGGCTTCGAAACTCTCACGGACGCATATCAAGTGTAGAGACATTGCGAAGGGGCACGTTATTTTCAGGTCCTTTCCTCAAGATTTAACCTGAGTGGCGATTTTAGTATATGTAGCTGCCTGGAATCCTCATGGGGGTTGCGATACCGAG